TCTATAAAGTCGTTGTGACGGTTAGGCCCACCGAGTCGACATTGTATTTATCATTATAAGTAATATATTCGGTGTTCGGCTTATTTTTTTCAAGGTAAGGATAGTTATAAGCTATTTTGCCTTTTCAATAATCCTATAGGACATTTTATATTCACTAATTCGTTAAGAGTGTTTAAAATTCGTTGATCCAAAGTAATGTATGCAGGCTTATGTTTCAATTCGATAGTAGACCTATTTGAATTAGGAAGTAAAGGGTAGATTTTGGTTAACGTTCAATTCTAGTGAACATACTAATTGAATACCTAAGGTTGACAATAACGGACATTTAATCAAATGTCTATTTAAAATTATTTATATAAGCGTAAATTAACATGTGTAAGTCTAAATTTATATAATAATTAACGTTGTATATTCTTATTCGTTTCACAGACAACTCAGTGTTAAACGATTAATAAATGCTTCGCTCGTCCTTGTTGAATAGCGGGAGAAGTTTCGTAGGCATCTAAAAACAACAGGCTAGTAGCTAGATGTTTACTTTTCACATTTCAAATAGGCCTACGCCTATTATGATATCTTTTTATAGCGGTTAATGACCGAGTTAATAATGTCATTGGCATGATGCACTATTTAGGACTACACTTTTTTTTTTATAAGAACGCATTTTATAAGAACACTTAGGCTGAAATTGCTTAAAAATTAAGAGCAAAATAAGAACAAATTGAGGTTGTGGTGAAATGTCAAATGAGGTTTTTGAAAAACCAGAAAAATTATATCTGTAGGGCCTACCTTATGTGCAGTAATGTAGGTGTGACTATGTAATACCCCCTATAATCAGGTGTACTGTCATTTGGGGCCATTTTTACCAGGCCTTTTTTTCTGGGGAAATTTTTCCAGGGCATCTTATTCAGGGCCCATTTTTACAGTACAATAATAATTTCTATATTTGAAAAGTGTGTAAAATAAGAACAAATTAAAGTCAGGCTCCGGAGGAAAAAAATTTGTTGATATGTTGTAGAACTGATTTTTTTAAGACAGAAAAAAGTTGTTTGACGAAAAACTGGGGAACGGTGAACGAGATACAGATTTTTGAATATTTAAAAACTGGGGGAAAAGGGGCGTAACCGCCCATTTTTACACCTTTTTCCCCCTGTTTTTCCGGAGCCTGACTTTAAGAACATTTTGAGCCTGAAATCGGCCAAAAAAATAAGAACACTGAGCCTGGCATAAAATATAATTTTCCATTAAAACTTTTAGGCGATCGAAATAATTTGTGTTCGTAGTTGAATTTAAAGAAAGTATTGTTTCATAGTAAATCATAAACTAAACATGCTAGCCACAATTATAACTACCACTAAGTAAGAACAATTTTTTTTTTTCAAAAGAAATTTAATTTTTAAGGGAAAAATATACCGATAAAATTAATAACGCTAAAAACTATTTGCTAACACTTAATAAAATAATAGTTTTTGACAAATAAAATGATTTGTAATGGTACGTGATTAATCTACCGTAATTACTATATACGCCAACTCAATTTTGTTTGGTAAATGGTTATGTTTAATATTAGTTTGGAACTAACAATTATTGTTTTTAACGTCGCATATCGATGACTTTCGGGGAAATTTAATTCAGTTTAATTCAGTTTCCAAAGCTTAAACAGCCTTCGTTGGGTCTATTTAAGACATGTGTAGGCCTGGCGATAATATATTTTGCATTAAGGCCTATTTGAATTTAACTTTTTAAGCAATATGTATTAAATTGGAAATGTTTTTAGTTTGTTTAATGTTCATGTACAGTACCAGTACTGTGGAAGCAAAAGAAATAGGCATAATTAATACGGTAGGCCTAGGTTTGCTGCACTAACTAACAAATTCCTAAATACAATTTTATAGGCCATTGGGTGTAAAGTAAAGTATAGTGTAGGCCTAAGAAAAATGAATTTTCATAGTAGTCTAGTACGGTATCCTCCTGGCCTAATCCGATAAACGAAATTATATTCTAAATATGGTATGAATTTAAACTATTAAATTCGATGAAGATCTATGAAAGTCTTCTATTTATATATATATATAATATTATTCTTGCTTATAAATATTAAATTAATTTTATTTATTTCTGTTTCTTTTTTATTTGTTTTTCTATGAAGAGTGCCGCTGATTTAAACAACGAACCATTGACCAGCCTATGCCATAAATAGTCATGGGCTTGTTACCTGTTAAGATCAGGTACAGATAAATTTTATTTCACCCTTTCATAGGAACTTACGTGGTCGAAAGATGCTTCTCCTTCTCAAAGACATGGTACAGGTATATTTTTTTTTATAAATACAAGTTAAATTTAATTTCAATAATTTTATAATTCTATAATTCAATAGGTCTATGTTTTTAAACTAGCGTTAGCCCTTTGTTGGTTACCGTACTTTTTATGATTGTATGTATTTGAAGTAGGCCTATGTACACTATGGTATGATGAGCCTATTACTATACTTGTACTACAGTACTGCTGTACTTTGAAATACCCGAGCTCCCCTAAATTGTTCAAACATTGTTCAAAATATTTTTTTAATGGAGATAATAAAGAAAATATATTCAAATTTTTAGTTTGCGAGTGCAATTTCCGGTCATCTAGAGGTGCCATAGTCACAAATTTTCTTACTTCAGCTCCAACCATGATGGGGCTGAGGTGGTATAGAACCTCAATCTCTGAAAGTACTCTCCAGCTCCCCTCTATAATTGAATTCCTGGATCCGCCACTTGATTTTTATTACTGTAAAAGCTATTATTATATTATTATTATTATTATTATTATTATTATTATTATTATTATTATTATTATTATTATTATTATTATTGTTTATTATTATTATTATTTATTATTATTATTATTATTATTATTATTATTGTTATTGTTATTGTTATTATTCAGCATATTGAGGTTTTCTCATGAATGTCTGTAGCAATTCGAATAAGGATAATTGCTAATTATTTTATTATTAATATTATTATTAGTACTAATATTATTCAGCATATTGTAGTTTTCTCATTAATGTCTGCAGCAATTCGAATGATGATAATTGCTAATTGAAAAATCTTTCGAGGTACGCTTTGTATCCAAAGGACGCGTCACAATCGTGTTTATCTCTGTGAACAATACTGCTCAATCACATTTTCTACATACCGTGGGATTTGTTCCTCACAGAGTTATCCACAACAATGTTAATTTGATTAAGACATTACTATTTAATCAAGTTTCACTTAACGTGTACGTCTGCGAACATTCGATACAAACATTTGTGCCTCAAACTCATAACATATTGATTTACTCGGATCGCCTTAAGTACCATGGGTGGATAGCTACTTACTACGGCACACACAAACACATA